ACTGATATTATTTATACAATTTTTACAATAATGCACTAGTCTGCATAACAGTAAATTTTGTATTTTTTTGTATGAATAAAAAATCAAACTAGAAAGCAATAGTAATATAAGAGGGGCCTAGAGACGTGACTAATGAACAGAGGATATGTTATTTTAGTGCCAAGAATGTCTACATTGTTTATTCTGGACCCTATTTTGAAATTGGCATCTTTTTTAATTTGCGTGAAATTGGCCAAATTGCCGATTTCTGACCACTTTATTGGGCAGTTCAGATCAGTAAATGGGCGATTTCTTGTAAGAACATAAGAACATAAGAAAGGAAGAACACTGCAGCAGGCCTGTTGACCCATACTTGGCAGGTCCTTTACAATCCATCCCACTAACAAAACATTTGCCCAACCCAATTTTCAATGCCACCCAAGAAATAAGCTCTGATAACTCTATCCACTCTCATATGCAACTCCCACTAAAATCCAACCTCTCTCACTCATAAGAACATAACATAAGAAAGGAGGAACACTGCAGGAGGCCTGTTGGCCCATACTAGGCAGGTCCTTTACAATTCATCCCACTAACAAAACATTTGCCCAACCCAATTTTCAATGCCACCCAAGAAATAAGCTCTGATGTGAAAGTCCCACTCAAATCCAACCCCTCCCACTCATGTACTTATCCAACCTAAATTTGAAACTACCAGAAGTCCCAGCCTCAATAACCCAACTAGGTAGACTGTTCCACTCATCAACTACCCTATTTCCAAACCAATACTTTCCTATGTCCTTTCTAAATCTAAACTTATCTAATTTAAATCCATTACTGCGGGTTCTCTCTTGGAGAGACATCCTCAAGACCTTATTAATATCCCCTTTATTAATACCTATCTTCCACTTATACACTTCGATCAGGTCTCCCCTCATTCTTCGTCTAACAAGTGAATGTAACTTAAGAGTCTTCAATCTTTCTTCATAAGGAAGATTTCTAATGCTATGTATTATTTTAGTCATCCTACGCTGAATGTTTTCTAACGAATTTATGTCCATTCTGTAATATGGAGACCAGAACTGAGCTTCATAATCTAGGTGAGGCCTTAATAATGATGTATAAAGCTGCAGTATGACCTCTGGACTTCTGTTGCTTACACTTCTTGATATAAATCCCAGTAATCTATTTGCCTTATTACGTACGCTTAGGCATTGCTGTCTTGGTTTAAGGTTGCTGCTCACCATAACCCCCAAGTCCTTTTTGCAATCTGTATGGCTAAGTTCTACATCATTTAACTTATAAGTACTAGGGTTATGGGCACTCTCAAGCTTCAGAACCTTGCATTTATCTACATTGAACTGCATCTGCCACTTTTCTGACCAAGAATAGAGCTTGTTTAAATCTTCCTGAAGTTCCATAACATCTACGTTTGAATCAATTATCCTACCTATCTTTGTGTCATCGGCGAATTTGCTCATTTCACTAGTAATTCCCTCATCAAGATCATTGATATATATTATAAACAACAACGGGCCCAAGACTGATCCCTGTGGAACGCCACTTGTGACAGATCCCCACTCGGATTTAACCCCATTTATGGACACACTCTGCTTCCTGTCAGTGAGCCATGACTCGATCCACGAGAGCACTTTTCCCCCAATGCCATGAGCTGCCACTTTCTTTAACAGTCTATGGTGCGGAACTCTTATCAAAAGCCTTACTAAAATCTAAGTAAATAATATCAAATTCTTTATCGTGGTCAACAGCCTCAAAAGCTTTACTGAAGAAAGTTAATAAATTAGTTAGACAAGACCGGCCTCTTGTGAATCCATGCTGAGTATCATTAATCAAGCTATGCTTATCGAGATGGCTTCTTATAATCTCATCTATAATTGTCTCTAGTAATTTGCCTACAATTGAGGTCAGGCTTATTGGGCGGTAATTTGACTGTAACGACTTGTCCCCTGTTTTAAAAATAGGAATTACATTAGCCATCTTCCACATATCAGACACTACACCTGTTTGAAGAGATGAATTAAAAATATTAGTTAATGGTTCACAGAGTTCCATTTTGCATTCCTTAAGAACCCTTGAAAAAACCTCATCAGGACCCGGCGACTTATTTTGCTTCAGTCTGTCTATCTGCTTCACAACCATTTCACTAGTGACTGTGATGTTACATAATTTATCTTCTTCTAGCCCACTATAAAAATTAATTACTGGAATATTGTTAGTGTCTTCCTGTGTAAAACCTGAGAGAAAATAATTATTTAAAATCGAGCACATTTCATTCTCTTTGTCAGTAAGGTGCCCATAGTTATTTTTTAAAGGGGGCCTATCTTATCTCTAACTTTTGTTCTATAGACCTGGAAAAAACTTTTTGGGTTAGTTTTAGAATCCCTAGCAACTTTAATTTCATAGTCCCTTTTAGCTTTTCTTATCCCCTTTTTAATGTCCCTCTTAATGTCATATACTGATTCATAAGATGACCCTCACCTCTTTTGATACGCCTATAAATTCCTTTCTTATGCCTAGTAGATATTGGCCTTTTTATTCATCCATTTTGGGTCATTTCATTTGATCTAATTTCTTTATGGGATAAACGTTCTTTGACAGCATTATAGTGTCAGAAAACTGTCATATTGATAGCTCACTTCGTTACCCCAGTCAACAGATGATAAGTGTTCTCTAAGCCCATCTAATCTGCTAAGCGAAAATCTGGGACTGTTACTGAGTTATTGCTACTATCGTACTTCCATTCAATGCTAAATGTAATTGATTTTTGGCTGCAGCACCCAGTTCCTCGAAATTTCTAAATTATTAACAAAGGATTCATTGTTTGCCATAACTAAGTCAAGCAGGTTATTTCCCCCTTTTAGGTTCTGTCACAAACTGCTTCAAAAAATCCTGAACTACTTTAAGAAGTCGTTTTCTAAATTCCAGTCAAGAAATTCCAATCAATATGACTGAAGTTAGTCTCCTAGAATTACTACATTATCGTGCCTTGTGGCCCTAACAATTTCCTCTCATAGTAGTCTCCCTTGGTCCTATCTAAGTTTGGGGGACGGTATATCACTCCTAAAATCAGTTTTTCATGCCCCTCTGAAAATTCTATCCAAACAGACTCTGTATGTGTTACTCCAGAATTAATACCCGTTTTTATGCAACAGTTTTAAGCGATCTCGGACATACAATGCCACCCCACCCCCTTCCCGATACTTCTATCTACTTTGGAACAATTTAAAGCCCTGAAAATGACATTCCCCAGGGATGTCCCGACTTTTTGAATTAAAAACCCCGTCTCAGTTAAGGCAAATACATCAATGTTACCTGCACTAGCAATAATCTCAACCGTCCATCTTATTCCTTGCACTACGGGAATTAGCATAATAAACATTGAAAGACTCTCTTTCTCTTTACCTTCCTGCTCATTTCTGTTTTTCTACTAAACCTATTACTGTCCTTATCACCCAAAGTCCCTGGCTTTTCAATATCTACCCCTTTTTCTGCTTATTACTAGTTCCCCCAGAACTCGAAATATTACTACACTGGGACTTAACTTTTTCCCTCCCAAAACCCATACCACAAAACTTTTCCCTGTTTAAAGTCCTAACTGCTCCTCCACTGCAGTTGCCATGCAAACCACCCAGACCTAAAAGGGAAAACCCACCCCTGGATACATGTCTTTCGGGCCTAGAAGAGGTCCCCATTTGGGCAATAAATGTTCCCGTTTTCCCTTTACAGCATTTGTCCAGAGAAAATTGGGACACCAAATTGCCTGGAAAAACCAAATTAAATTTCCAACTCCTCCCCTTGGCAAAATACCCCCTATGCCCGGGGTTTCCACCCTTCTCCTAATTATTCTATTGCTGCCCTTATACCTGCTAATCGGGTCTTCACTCTTACGTCTCCAAAAAAATCGTTGCCTCCAGCATGAGACAGAAAATAGGATTGTCCCATTACCTTTCATGATTTTCACCCCGGACGGCTAACAATATCCTCTATCCCAACCCAGGAAAGCAAACTCTCTGTCTCCCATCCTGTCCTTCAAGCAGAACGCCCCCATCCATATATTTAAATTGGCTATCCCCCAAAAACAACAATATTTTACCCTTTCCCTTTGGGGCGTTGTCGTGATGTTTCCCCGTAGACGACTCGGGATTCGTTTGGGTTTTGCACTGAGAATGTATTAGGGTGTTTTTCCCCAAAAAAGTTTCCCCCGGCAGTCTCTTTTTCTTCATCGTTTTTCCTTTTCCCTTCAAACTTCTTGATCGTCAATTGTTCCCCGCTGTCCAAACCCTGACCAGTTTCCCCTTTTTGACCTGAGGACTCATAAAAAGGAGGATTACTACAATTTCTTTTCCCGGGGGGAGTCGCCCAATCTTTCCCTCCTTTGCCAACCCCAATTCTTCCCTTTAAACTGTTGGTAAAATTGCTCGATTTGGAAAGGGGATCTTGCTTCAATTTTGTTTGAGAGCGCGGGAAAAACAGGTCTTCACAGAGCTAAGTACACGTCACCACTCAATGGATAGAAAAAATGGAGTTCTAAAGAAATAGCTATGAGTTTGGTCAACTTGAACAACGGAATTGGCCCAAAACAGGGCTCAAAGTCGGCGAAATCGCCGATGCATATATGTTGCCGAGACTGCTAACTTCGTGGGAGCGTAATTCTGTGAGTTTTCAGCCAAATTTCGTACTTTTGGTGTCATTACCATCGGGAAAAGGTTCTCTGTCATTTCATAAGAAAAAAAATAATTTTTTTTCCAAAAAATTTATTGACATAGAATGACAGTTTCAGAAAGGGACCTGCGACAGTCAAAGGATTAACACACTAGCCATCTCCCACAGAGGTAGGGTGACCTGCAAATGAAAAACTTTAACCATCATTCACACTACCACTGTCAAAGGTGCATATCTACTGTATTTGCATTTTTTAATTGATGTTCTTTTAATTATATTAGTTTTTTAAGTAGTCATAATATATCTGAGTTGGCTTACCTTTTCCTTGCTTTGTACAGCTGCAAGTAACACTTCAAGTAAATCAGCCACAACCTGACATTAACAGTGGCAACGAGGATGATATTGACCGTGCCTTGAATGAGCTACAGATATCCCTGGAAGGTTCCCATGTGGCCTCAACTCCTGCTGATATTATGCATATCCCAGAGCTGGCAGACTATCTCAGATTTATGAAGTAAGTAGCTTTTGTGGTTTTTTTTTTTTTAATGCAGAACGTGTATGTTCACCTGCATTGAAGAGGTTGTATCATTAATAGAGATGTATTGCCATAGTGAAATAGGATGCTGTGGTCTACTGTGTGAAAAGCTTTTCTTAGGTTGATAAAATGTTCTAGTAGATATTTATTTTTTCCAGTGCTGTGTAAAATAGGTCTAGCATTTTTATAATATCGTCATCTGTGTTTTTGTTTCTCCTGAAGCCAACCTGGCAGGGATTAAGAATGCTTTGTGATGTTATAAAGAAATGTGATCTCTTTTGTATGAGTTTCTCGAGGATTTTGGATAGTAGAGGCAAGTTTGATAATGGCCTATAGTTGTTTACATCTATTGGGTCACAACCTTTCTGTATGGGAATAACCTTTGCTGTCTTGAGTAATGTTGGGAAAGTGCTGGTTTCTAATGATTTGTTGAAGAGAAATGTAATCATTAGAGAGAGGACACGAACTGCTCATTTAAACACTGCTTGTTTAAACACATGAGCTAGATTTCCTGATTTGTTTTTAGTGAATTAATAATTGTAGTGACCTCAGTGAGATCTGTTGGAACGAAATAGAGAGATGTTGGGAAGTCTCCTAAGTAATCACTTGCTCGGGTATTGGTGCCTGAAATTTTGCTGGCAAGACTTGATCCTATGGTTGACAAGTCATTTATCTTGTTAGCTGTTTTAGAAGGCTGGAGTTGTGGTTTATATGGGTTAGTTAGGACAGTATCTCAAGCTTTGTTCAGCTTTTGGTTGCTCAGGATCTGAGAGAGTGTCTTCCAGATCTTTTTTTTTTTATATCTCCTCTTATAGGGATAATGAGACTCAGGTAAGGGTATGTAGGAGAGTGGGAGATTATTTTCCAGTAAGAGTAGTCCTTAGGGATGCATGATGTCACCATGGTTGTTTATTTAATGAGATACTTCATTGGATCATTTCTATATATATATACCATTGTTGTTTAATATATTTATAGATGGGGTTGTAAAACAACCGAATGTTAGGGTGTTAGGAGGAAGTGTGGATTTAAAAGATATTGAATCTAATGGAAAGTGGGAGTTGTCACATTTCCTTTTTTGCTTGATGACATTGTTCCTTTTGGGAGAATCGCTGAGAAAATTGTAAGAGTTTTGGAAAACATATTTTGGGCTCCTGGAGTCGGAGTCGGAATAATCTTGGTACTGATTTGGATAACTGTAGTTAAAAAAGAGGAGTCAGAAGCGCCATAAATAAAAGAGTCAGAGTTGAAGGTTTTACCTGGTTGTGCTGCCGCCTCCACAAGCCCTGACAGTCTTGACAAGGTATGTAAAAGATAGGAAATAACTCTCATTTCACAGCCATGCTGTACAAACTACGCCATGAGCTTAGCTCACACAGATAGCTGTGAACATAAATTTGTGCTGATATGAGAGAATGGTCTATGTAAGTGTGCAACTCATTATAAAAAAAATCCGACAGCACACAGCGCATAATGAGAAAAAAAAAAAACTGTGACCTATTTTTTTGTTGAAAACATCGACTTGGCAATGTATTTTTGTCTATCAGTTATTTATGTTGTATTCTCAGTTTCTTGATTTTCATATGACAGAATGGAGGGTATATCAACACACATAGAAAGAATTTAGATTGGTTTCAGACTAAAAATAGGCTCGAAATGAGCTTAAAGTAGCATAACGTTGATTTTTTGCCAAATTCAAGAGTAAACAAATCATGTCACTCTCCATATCATGTGCCAACTGGTGGATCTAATCTGCACCCTCAACGAATGTGCTGATAATTATTTAGTGCATTATAACAGTATGCAAAAGGTAAATCTTCTATTCTTTGTTTGAATAAAAGTTCTTTGTATGAATAAAACTCAAAATGGAATTTATGTGTAAAGTCTGGGAATGCAACAGAGGTAATCTTACTTTAGTGCCAGGAATGCCCTCATTATTTATTCTTGACCCTATTTTGAAATTGGAATATTTTGAAATTGAAATTGGCCAAATTCCAATTTCTGATCACTTTATTGGGTAGTTGAAGTAGTTGATTGCGTGGTTTCTTGTGCGCAGTCAATGAAATGAAAGACATGCTAGTGAAATAGCTAAGAATTTGTTCAACTAGAACTATGTAATTGGTCTGAAATAGAACTCAAAATGAGCAAAATCGCCGACACAGCAAAATGCAGCAAAATTTGCAAAAACGTAGTTTCATCAGTTTTCCATCAAATTTCCTGCTTTTTGTTCTTTTAATATTATTATTATTAACACACTGGCCGATTCCCACTAAGGTAGGGTGGCCCGAAAAAGAAAAACTTTCACTATCATTCACTCCATCACTGTCTTGCCAGAAGGGTGCTTTACACTACAGTTATAAAACTGCAGCATTAACACCCCTCCTTCAGAGTGCAGGCACTGTACTTCCCATCTCTAGGACTCAAGTCCGGCCTACTGGTTTCCCTGTATTCCTTCATAAATGTTACTTTGCTCACACTCCAACAGCACGTCAAGTATTATATACTCTTTGACCTCCATTTCACTCCTATCAACACGCTCACGCATGCCTGCTGGAAGTCCAAGCCCCTCGCACACAGACCCTCCTTTAAATTTACCCCCTCCCTCCAACCTTTCCAGGCCAACCCCTCCCCCGCCGTTCCCTTCCACTACAGATTGATACACTCTGAAGTAATTTCTGTTCGGTTCCATTCTCTCTACATTCCAAACCACCTCAACAACCCTCCACAGCCCTCAGGGACAACAGTTATTGTGCAATCCCGCACCTCCCTCTAACTTCCAAACTAAATACGATTCTCTGCATTATATTCACACCACACATTGCCCTCAAAACATGACATCTCCACTGCCTCCAGCCTCCTCCTCGCTGTAACATTCATCACCCATGCTTCACACCCATATAAGAGCGTTGGTAAAACTATACTCTCATACATTCCCCTCTTTGCTTCCAAGGACTAAGTTCTTTGTCTCCACAGACTCCTAAGTGCACCGCTCACCCTTTACCCCTCATCAATTCTGTGATTCAGCTCATCTTTCATAGACCTATCCACTGACACGTCCACTCCCAAATATCGGAATACATTCACTTCCTCCATACTCTCTCCCTCCAATCTGATATCCAGTCTTTCATCACCTAATCTTTTTGTTATCCTCATAACCTTACTCTTTCCTGTATTCACTTTTAATTTTCTTCTTTTACATACCCTACCAAATTCATCTACCAACCTCTGCAACTTCTCTTCAGAATCTCCCAAGAGCACAGTGTCATCAGCAAAAAGCAATTGTGACAACTCCCACTTTGTGTGATTCTTTATCTTTTAACTCCACGCCTCTTGCCAAGACCCTCGCATTTACTTCTCTTACAACCCCATCTATAAATATATTAAACAACCACGGTGACATCACACATCCTTGTCTAAGGCCTACTTTTACTGGGAAATAATCTCCCTCTTTCCTACATACTCTAACTTGAGCCTCACTATCCTCGTAAAAACTCTTCACTGCTTTCAGTAACCTACCTCCTATACCATACACCTGCAATATCTGCCACATTGCCCCCCTATCCACCCTGTCATATGCCTTTTCTAAATCCATAAATGCCACAAAAATCTCTTTAGCCTTATCTAAATACTGTTCACTTATATTTCTCATTGTAAACACTTGGTCTACACACCCCCTACCTTTCCTAAAGCCCCCTTGTTCTTCTGCTATCCTATTCTCCGTCTTACTCTTAATTCTTTCAATAATAACTCTACCATACACTTTACCAGGTATACTCAACAGACTTATCCCCCTATAATTTTTGCACTCTCTTTTGTCCCCTTTGCCTTTATACAAAGGAACTATGTATGCTCTCTACCAATCCCTAGGTACCTTACCCTCTTCCATAGAAATGAAAATACTAGAAATGAAAATACCCTGGATTTGATATTCACAAACAACGAGGAACTGATCAGAGACATAACAGTTTCCAAAACTATTTACTCTGATCATAACATCATAGAGGTTCAATCTAGTATTAACTCAGGTAGGGAACTTCATCGCTAAAGTTAGAGACGGGATGTTTAGTAAGTTTAATTTTAACAACCATAGAATTAACTGGGAAAAAATAAACCAAGAGCTGTCAGACATACCCTGGGAATCAGACATGAGCGACCTAAATCCCCACCAGTGCCTAGAGAAGCTGAATACAGAAGCATGCAAAGTATGTATGAAACATGTACCATTGAGGAAACCCAGAGGAAGATCAGATATAGAGAGAGAGCGTAGGAGATGGTACAGAAGAAGAAAGCGGGTTACTGAACTGCTTAAAAACACAAATATGCTACAACAGAGGAAAGATAGACTTAGCAGAGAGATCACTGAATTAGAGCAAAAACTTAGGATGTCTTACCTCATAGAAGAAGTACAAAGGGAACAAAAGGCCATACAGGATATTGCAAGAAACCCAAAATATTTCTATTCCTACGCAAAATCCAAGCTAAGAACTACCTGTAGAATTGGACCACTACTGAGAGGAGATTCGTATTCTGACAATGAACAGGAAATGAGTGAAATCCTAAAAGAACAGTATGAGTCTGTGTTCAGCAACCCACTAAATGACAGCAAGGTAGAAAATGCAGAAATATTTTTCACTCCAGAAGAAGGCCGCACAGACCAACTAACTGACATTAGTACAAATCCCATAGATTTCGAGAAAGAAATGGAAAACATGCCCACTCACTCAGCACCTGGACCAGATTCATGGAATACTCTATTTATAAAGAAGTGCAAAGTACCACTATCATGAGCCCTCAGTATTCTTTGGAGTAAGAGCTTAGATCTAGGTGAAATACTGGAGGCCTTAAAGAGTGCAGACATAGCTCCTTTGCACAAGGGAGGTAGTAGAGCACTAGCTAAAAATTACAGACCAGTAGTCCTAACCTCTCACATCATAAAAATCTTTGAAAGAGAGATTAGATGGCAAGTTACAAACTTCAGG